ATGGTATATAGTTGTACTGTATATTAGAGATAGATTGAGTAAACTTTCAGTTTAAAAACATCGTTCTCACGTGAAATTTTTTTTGCGACGCTTTCCACAGCTACGTCGGTCGCTCGTCGGCCGCCGCCACGGCAACGGGAAACAAATGCCAGAACAAGACGGAACTGGAGCTGTTGCTAGGCAACGCGATGAGCCTCGAGAATGCGACGGGCGGCGGCAGGCCCGTCTGACTAGCGGCGCCCCCTGCAGGAGCGGCGGCGACGGCGGCGACAGGTAAACACGACGGTGATAATGTCACGGCGACACGGGTTCATGCGATGCAGCAGCAGCAGCGGCGGGCGGACGGGGAGAACGAGGGTTCCGCGGGGGACGACGCGCGGGACAGCACAGGGGGCGCTGCAGGAGGCGACGCGGCGACGGTCGATGGAGGGCACCGGTCGGAGTCAGACGGAAGCCGGGGCGGCGATGCGCAGGACGAAGAAATGCGCGGAGTCGCGCCGAGTCCAGCTGTGTTTGAGTTCGCTCGCGTGTAAGGCCTTCATGCTGCGATTCAAATATTAGATCTGTGTGTTTACAAAGTGTGTGCAAAGAGTATGTTCCCCTTCCCCTCCCCTCCCGGTTTCTCCCCTTGGTCCCCTCCCCTCGGTTTCCTCCTCCCCAGTCTCCTCCCCTCTGCCTTAGTAGCATGGGTTTTTTTGTTTTGGTTGATAGAATTACATGGGAAGAGAACTTAGTTTTTAATATTTCGTATTTACTCGTTTTTACACGTAGATCGACCGTCAGTGCACGGAGAGTCACTGTTTTCTTACGTTGAACAGACTTTACACTTTGCGTATCCAAATTTTATTGTCTGCGACGATACAGATGCAGATTAAGTAGAGTAAAGAGTCGCATGAATGTGTTTTCGTGTAGACGGCATGTCAGTGTCCGTGTTTTGTTGAGAGCACATGAGTAGTGTTGAATTTGTTTTTCCAGGTGTTTCAAAGTCGTCGTCAGTAGCTGTGAAATAGGTGGTGAGACATGCTTTGGCTGCTTAGGGATGCTTTACCTTCGTACCCACCTGATAAACGAGCTAAGCCTGTATCCCCCTCCTCCTCCTATTGCTGTAATGTGGGCCAAAACACCTTTTGTTGGAACATATCCAGTACTCAGTGTTTTCGGCAGTAGTGTGACTCGAACATCTTCGTTAAGTTACAGATGCAATTGATTGATAGATCGTCATGGCATCATCTGTTAGTCGTTGTCGCACATATATGTAGGTTGCCTGTCAACTCAGAGCCGGTAGCTTATGAAGTAGTGATCGTATCGTATTGTTTGTACATACCTATATCTATTTATACTTGTAAGTGTGTTTGGGAGAGAAATAAAACATCGTTATAGTCTGTTCAGTTTTAATGCAATTGTTGTTTATTCTTTTCGTTCTCTTATTCGTTTTATCTGAAGGCATCTGCCTAT